CCCAGGTGCACCCCCACCCCTCCTGAATCCCACCAGCCTTCACCATGCCCATAGAAATAAAGGGTCCCTAAGATATGACTGTACCTTGATAATTCATAGACCCAGGTGCACCAAACATTGTTGTTTTGATCTCCTGAAAATTAATAGAATCAATAGTAAAAGCATGTTATTAGTATAATTTACGCACTGCTAGGTATCTACAGGATGCATACATTGGCAGCAAAACGAGTTTCACTGACACTCAAATTGCAATTCTGACAGTGGGCTGTCTAAATTATGTAACATGCATAGCTTTCCTCAATTCAAAGTCTTGTTGCAGGGAAACATTGAACATTACGAGTCACATCCTGTGAAAACTGTTTCTTTAGCAATAAAAAGGTGCATCATGTATACAGTCTAGTGGGAGGCAGGATTCATGTCCTTTGACTGTAATAAGAATGACAGCTGCTGTTCTTGGAGGGGAAACACTCATGGGCCAGGCTTTTTCAAGGAAAAAGCTAAATCTTCATTTTCCTTCCTAAAAAAAGGACTTGAATGCTTTTTCCCCTTAAGAAGGATGCTCTGGGTCTTTTTTATTGACTGATTCTTGGCCTCTCTGTATTTTATGCTTCAACCCATACCATATATACCACATCTTTTCTATCTGGGCTACACACAGGACTTACAGGAAGATACAATGCACTGACTCCCATCTGACAATACTGATATCTTGTGTAGGAGGCTACTGAGACACCTGGGGTCTGCTTTGAGGCATCCTCTGTGATAATACAAGAAAACAACAAAGAGAATAAGAACATACCATACATTATATCCATGTTTTCAAATGATGTGATAGCAACACAGTGATAAGATCTAACAGTGTCAGCCTGATAATTTCGTTGTCTGGAAGAAACAAGCCGCTGTAATCATAAAGACTGTGTTTTATACAGTTTCTAATTTGCTTTCCTGTCGTATTTGAAGTCATACTTTACTATTTTTTCTATATTTTTGGTGATACAAATCTCTAATTTGCAAAGAAAATATATTACAAGCTCTTGTTTATCATTTAGTTTTGTTGATCTGAACAACAGAAGAATATCTAGATTCAAATTTTGCAGCAAAAATATCGTCTAAATACTTAAACACTATTGAATAATTTGTAGAAAATTCATCAAAGTGGCCTTGGTTGAAGTAAGTAGTTGCACTGTAATTAATTTTTATTAAACTCATTAATAATTCATGAGGAAAACACAACAGAAATCATGACCGTGAAGAGTTTTGTAAATCAGATACATAATCCTGTTCATTTGCATAAACTTTAAGATGGATTTTCTTGGCCAGAATCACTTTTATTTTGAAAATTTTAGCGAAACACAAAGGAACTAACCTAGACGTTTGATAAGTAATCTATGGTATTCATGTCCGTGTCGTATCCAATATACAAACTCTCAGCTACACCTCAAGTTTGTATATCGGATACAACACGGCCACTCATACTGTATATATTACTTAAAGTGCTACTACAACGAAAATTGCTCAAACTTGGATTCAGCTGAAACTTCCTAAGAATACTCTTTAAAGGTCCAATAATCACTGTATGAAGTGTTTTCTYGATATTCAGGACGAAAGTATGATATTTTTACGATTATTTTTTGGAATCTGTGACGTCATACACTCAACATCGAACATCACTCCATACATTTCTTTGTAGTTTATGATCAAAATATCAGTAGTAAAGGGAGAAAGAAATACCCAAACACCCCAAAATATAAATTATAGTCACAAGTAATGTGAAATAAACACATTAGCCACCCTTTGGGCTTCATAGGAATAAAATAAATTAAGGATTTAYATACAAAGAAATATATGTAGCAATGTTTGATGTTGAGTGTATGACGTCACAGACTCCAAAAAATAATYGTAAAAATATCATACTTTCGTACTGAATATTGAGAAAACACTTCATACAGTGATTATTGGACCTTTAAAGAGTATTTTTAGGAAGTTTCAGCTGAATCCAAGTTTGAGCGATTTTCGTCGTAGTAGCACTTTAAATGGTCATATTCTTACGGTCATTCAAATTTCTGCATGTTTCATAAAGGGTTTTTTCCCATTCCTTCGACAAGCTTCCCATGTATGAGTAACATTTCCCTGGATACATGTGATAATTGGCAATCTGTCCTTTATACAAATAACGATGTGAACATGCCTGGTGACATTAATAAATAAACAGATCACATTAGGTTTTCAACGATAATTACACCTGTAGAAGTAATTGTTAAATAAACCAGCAAATAAATTGCATATTGTCTGTGGTTGATGATGGAAGAAATATCTTCACAGCAGGGGTTATGATTATACAGTCACAAAAACAGAATTTTACAACTGTCTATTGTTTTACAACTATTGAAATTAAGGATGTTCACGGGCATTGTTCACGCACATCCTTTCTACACATGAATTTAGTGGATGTGCAGTACTAAAAGTCCAGGGTCTCAGTAGCATTTCTGGGTTAATATGATTTAAAAGAGTTATATTATAAAACACTCACATGTTTATCCTTGTACTAATAATTCAATAGATTTCAAGTTGATTAAATAACATAGGTAAATTAATTCCTTTTGATTACTTTTTACATAAACCCTATATTTACAAAATATTATGTGTTGATGAAAACATTAGGATAAGTTGATAATTAATACAAGGTTGTACATACCACGACTCTTCCATTACGTCCTGAGCTATAAAGTGACACACCAAACCACTGGTTACTCTTGTTTTCTATGACACTACCACCAACGTCCTCATTACCTTTGTGAGTTTTAGGGAATAAATATGGATTAAATTCAAATTAGTATAAAATTTTCAGTTTTTATATAAATACATGTATGCATTTAAAAACCGAATTACTCTTCCAAAAATTTGGTTTTCTCCTTTATTTGTTTACCTTTTATCTTAATTATAAATATAAATTTAAAAAAACCTAAATTTAAAAAAAGAACCTCATTCTTTTGTTATTCAAAAACAAAACAGAAAAATGCATTATTGTAAGCACAAAAAACATTAGAACTGAAAGATTGTGATTAATAATCATTTGGAAAACTTAAAAATATTTAGAATTTTGATGTTTGTACTCGACATTCTAAATAAAACATATGAACATTCCATGTCAACTGATTCCAAAACAATAGCATTCTTAAACGAGCGTAGGTAACAGTGAGATCAGAAGATTAACCGAATTAAACGCTTGCCCCATGTCGAAAGATGATATTGTTTTGATTGAGGCTTTGAGCGTTTTTCAAATTTTAAGATCATCAAGGCTGGGACTACACTTGATCAGCATTATTAGACCTGTATATAACATCACACTTATATATCATGATCACGCGAAATAATTTAAACCCAAGCTACGCTAGAATGTGAACAAAATCGTGGCGAGGAAACCCTTTTTACCACGAAGCTAAATTTTTAATGATGTACGGTTGCAATTAGGTTGAGAGGTAGAAAATTACCGCCAAAAAGCACTTGTTGAAATAATTTGCAAATATTGACCTTGCCACACTAAAGTAAGCAAAAGATCACTGCCTTCGTTTGGTTTACTCCAATCGCTTCTTAGAATCAAAATAAAAATCTCCCATAACAACAAACAGCCGTTTAAATATCACTATACATATACAAACAGGTCTGACCTAAACGTTTAGGCTGTTCAGACAAAGAGAATTCTTACCACTGTTTTCAAAAGGCATCTGTTCACATGAGTTTTCCTTCAAACTACATTTGTAAACTGCTCCTGGATTCACGATGTTTTGAGCGAGCATTACACTTACGTTCGCCTTAGGCGCTCCCACTAGAAGCCTAAACAGAACAACCACATAAAATAAAAAAAGATAGCAGTGAGACAAAGGAAACATGAAGTAATCATCTCCTTCCTTGGGAAATAGCGAGTCGTAGTGTAAAGTTAATCCAAAGACAAGCCGCGCGACGCTTACCAGTTTTCATAAGCATTCGACGTCGAGTTGAACCACTGGTGCTGTGCAACAGAAAACCCAAAATAACTACCAGTCTGGTCGCTTTGTCTCACAACAGGAATATTCAAATCAATATTGAATGATACAGAGGTATAAAAGAGAGCGAAGAGTATGAAAACAGAAAACATCTTGGTTAGAGTACTGACTACTGCTGCTGTCTGTTGATGTGACTTCTGCATTGAGCTTCAGTGACAAGACATGACGGGCTACTGCGCATGCGTGCACCATTGCTAACATTCTTGACGTTACATACGCTCTTCGCCACACCCGAACACGACCGGAAAGCGGAGGTTCACATTTTTGTTCTTTACTGAGCTATTCATAGGCTTGAACTTTTCAATGGTAAAAATCACTATGTAAAAAAACACTTTAGGATGATAAAAATTGCCCCGCCTGCATTTATACTGATTGTTGTAATAATAATAATGTGCCTTGCGGTTGTTCGAAGTTTAGCATGAATATCCGTTTGCGGTTAAATAGGTGAGAATTCGAAACAGTCAGCTTTAACAAATTGCTGACAGAAAAAATATATAATACAAGGAAATCTCAAAATTATTGACATTTCGTTGACTATAATTACAGATTTTCAATTCAAAGTCAAGGATTTTTTTATTGTGAGTTCTTTCCTTCCGGAAATCATAAAGAACATTACTCAGAGGTTCCCACACATCACGGAAGCCACTGACCAAATCGTTTTTCGCCACTAGTACTTCAACATACCGTGCCTGATGGATGAGTCACAAGCTCTCCTGGCAGCAGCCCTAGGGATATTTTGCTCCTTTTCTCCGCTAACAGAATGAAATCATACAGTTTCTCTTGGATAAATGAGTATCTGTTTACTCATTTTAATTTTAAAACAATCAACTAGAAAACCCAAATCATTACATGCGTTTAAACGATTTGCAAGAAGGCCTATGATCACCAGATAAATTTTACTGTCTGTTCAAGATTTTTAAATGGTTTCCTCTCTCGGGATAAACAAAGTGTTTTGGTTCTAATTGAGTCTAGAGGCTATTAGAGCCTGCCTTGAGTGTTTCCGGTGATGGTGGTGATGATTAATCATAATAGGAGGGAAGGGGTCAAAGGTCAAATAGATCGTTCTACAGATGAGGAATGAAAGCTGCAGAGTAGAGGCGAAGGGGGGGGGGGGGGGGAAATATTAAAAAACGAAAAAAGGAAGCAAGGTCTGTATGGGAATAGGAAAAAAAAATAGTGAAAAATAAAAAGGCCATGTGGATCAATGTAACTCGAAAATGAAGAAAGGAAGGAAGGAAACGAAAAGAGAGGCAGAGCTGAACAAACACAGTAAAGGGGGGGCTACCCTTAAAATGATGAACTTTCAAGTTAAATTATGCAAAAGGTACAGATAGAGAATCGTTGTGTTGTTCAAATATGTCAGCGCGGCGGGCCGGGGATAGGTACTCTGAGCGAAACGAGGGTGACTTGTGGAACTGCAAAAATAGGCGGGCCGTGGTTGCGCGTGTCATCATTGTCTTTTTTACATGGACTCGAATCGAATCTACAGTAAAAGACATTTTATGGTTAAAATATATCACAGGAAGAAAAATTGAGAAGTTTATCAGTTTTTTAGACGAAAATACATTATTAAAACTTTTGTAGCGGTCCTTTCTTATAATTCCCCTATGGTGTCCTAAGTCAAAATACAGTTTCAATAGGTATTATATATCACAGGCGCGCAAACAAATTGTACTTTAATTTTGCTTATTTTCTATTGGCTAATAATGATATTAAGGTAATATCATGGCCTAGCACAAATACCAAAAATTCCAGTAAATGAAATTTTACTGAATTTACTTTTGGCATTACGCTAAATTGGACTCCCTGTGAGAATAGTATAGGAACAGTTTCTACAGACATTAATGCACTAGTCAATTGAAACCCCGACCCCCGCGAAATACCGGGGAATTTAACATTTGAGTGGTGTTAAAGTCAGAAATTTTCACTGTTAAAACCCCCGCTATTGTGGTCCCGTTATTTTGGTTTAGTAGTCAACGAGAAACACATTTCACGCCAACTCCAAATTCTTGTGCTACACAGAGCCAATTGTTGTGTGTTCCATGCACTAAATATTTAGCCAGTACGCTGGCTACTAAATATTCAATGCTCATTATTTTCATAAGCTCTGAACCTCAAATCGTGCGAAAAAGTTTGGGTTTACGTCTAGTCAGCTGAGAATTTAATGGTATCAAATTGAAAATGAACAATGCTTGTAAATATTGCGAAGAAGTAGTTCTAATAGATTAATCATGATCTGATTCTACATTCGAACTGACCGAAACGACTGAAGAAGACCCGCGTATAAGAACCTGTTTTTTTTTAAGAACCTGTTAGGCTACATTCTCACTTTAAGATCCCTCCACATAAGAACCTATTAATTTTAAGAAAGGTTCTTATCAGTGGAGTTCAGTGTAAAAGTGTATAGGTAGAAACTGCTATGAGTTTGTTTGAGCATGTGTGTTGTGTAGAACATACTGCTCTGTACTAGGCTACGGGCTGCCTGTGCTTGGTATTACAACGCCTTCTTGGTATTTTTCAAGATGGCCGACCTCCTGTTTCCAGGCCCTTACACATTCAAAAGAGAGTTAAAATCCCCGCTGAGAAAACCATTCGTTAAATCCCCGAGTAGTAGGGTAGGGGCAGCACAACCCCTTTTTTGGACGGGGAAGGGGACGGGGAAGGACGGGGAAGGGGACGGGGAAGGACGGGGAAGGACGGGGTACATTAATTATTCATCGATCATTAGCATAAAACGACGGGTAGGTATTGTTTCGGGTTACCATGACGACCAATTGACGTCATAAGACTATTGTTGACCGATATGAACAAGTCTTTGTTTCGGGAATGGTGGGCCAGTGATGGGCACCTCCATTGTTTATTAAATCGTTACCATAAAATGACGAGCAGACTATTGATTATTAAACCGTTACCATAAAATGACGGGGAGACTATTGTTAGGCAAGTTTGGGCAAGTCTTTTGTTTAGCAATTCAATTTATAGAGCGCGGGGACTTTGAATTTTTTTATTCCAAAACTCAACCAACCAASCAAGCAAGACCTAAAAAAATTACTTTTGAGAAACGCAATGGCTACGTTATTCCAGTTAGGATCTCGAGGATATCATGCTACCGTCAATGAATTCAAAGGGCAGATCCTGATCCACATCCGAAAATACACTGATTTTCCTGACGCGGAAAAGGTTCCAACAAAGTATGGAGTGTCTCTTTCCATTCAAGAGTTTGAAGAATTGAAAAAAGTCATCACGGACTTGAGTGAGATGGTCAACGTTATGGCAGAAACGAGTCCTATATCCACCCAACCCGGAGATCAAACAAGAATTCAGAACCAACAAGTAATTGATCCACGAGCTACGAACCCTAAGTCAAAAGGTTTC